TGCATATATATATATTATCTGCGAATCGAACCATTCCGTCTTTCGATTCTGGAATCGAATCATTCGATCCGTGAATCGAATCATTCGATCCGTGAATCGAATCATTCGATCGATTCCAGGATCGAATGATTAGATTCCAGAATCGAATGATTCGATTCACGGATCGAATGATTCGATTCACGGATCGAATGATTCGATTCCAGAATCGAAAGACGGAATGGTTCGATTCGCAGATAATATATATATATATGCATGTTTAAACTTTAAATGTTACCTTTGATATTTTTCCTATATATATTCAATTCACATCGAAGACATTTGCGTGATCGAGAATATATAAGAATATATAAGCAGATCGCATTATTTAATTCACGGATCGAATGCTTTAATTCACGGATCGAATGCTTCGATTCACGGATCGAATAATGCGATTAATTCAGAGTCGCATGGTTCGATGCGGTGCGTGCAGGAGGGATCTACATAATACAGAGATCGACTGATTCGATTCTAAAATCGAACGATTCTAAAATCGAACGATTCGATTCCAAAATCGAACGATTCTATTCCATAATTGAATGGTTTGATTCCAAAACCGAATGGTTTGATGCCAGGATCGAATGGTTTGATTCTCTTTTCTGATATAAAATCAAATAATGTGAACATTCAAAACAGTAAATGCATAATACAATCGAATTAACATGCATGGTATCAAATGATGCAATTGTACTTTTGGCAGGGAATTATTGTCGATTTATTGCATATAACATATGATTAAATAATCAAATATATTATATGCGATAAATCAAATGTTATATGTGGTAAATCGAATGTTATATGTGATGAATCGAATGTTATATGTGATAAATCGAATGTTATATGTGATAAATCTAATGTTATATGTGATAAATCGAATGTTATATGTGATAAATCTAATATTGTTATATGTGATAAAATCAACCATGCATAAAACAAAAAATCGAATTATGAAACAAAAAACATGCCATACGGCCCAAGCCTAGTTTAGCACAGATGAGAACACACTTTTGATTGTAATTACCTCAGAAGAAACAGCCATGTGATATAGCACCTATCAGTGACGCCTTCAAACACAGACTATATTATAGTTACTGTAATATCGAACATATAGGCTATCGTATATATGATATCATACGTAATGTTCAGTTTCAAAGCCCCGTACGCACCATATATGATTGTAGACTAGAGACTGATGATATATGAGATGTATGATGGTAATGTATATGAACTGATGATTATGAGATAATAATACTTATTAGATTATTATGATTAGCTCTTGATGAGATGTATACTCTACTCTTACCCTAGCTCGATCCAGTACTATAGCCCGCGTAAAGTATATATACAGGGGTGTAAATCCGTACCGAGGAGTGGGGGGGGGGATGATCGGGGATAGCCGGGGGCAAAATTAACCTTGGCTGCCGCAGGCAGGCCCGCGTGCTGTAGGCATGTCAGTGCTAGGGGGGTCTGGCTGGGGGCATGCCCCCCATAAAATTTTGAAATATTTAAGCCATTTTCCTGCAATCTGAAGCATACTGTGGGCCATATTCTCATGTCTGATCACACTATCTCAACCCTAGACTCAACCCTACAAGTTAGGATTCAAAACACTTTTCATGACTTTTCAGAGAGCGTACACAGTTAGGTTACTATAGACTCCTGGTAATAATACATGTATTAAAACACAGGTAAGAATTGCAATTTCTCACAATTTCACGTGTTTTTGTATGTTTGCAACCATACTTTTTGGCTATTCTTTTTTTTCTCTCTTTTTAGCTCACCTTGACATCGTCAAGCTGAGCTATTGCCATGGGTCGTCGTCCGTCGTACGTCCGTCTGCCTGTCCGTCAACATTTGGTTTCGGTCAACGATAACTCAGGAACCGTTTGACCCACATGTTTGAAATTGGGTATAGTTGTTACTGCTATGCTCCCATATTGAACGTCTTATTTTGGAGCACGCCAGTCGACGTACTTTCGAGCCACGGCAATTCTTTTGCCAAAAATGGGAATTGTCATTAGTCAGTTCAGGTTCAATGGATTTTGCTCATTTTTGGTATGTGAATGAATAAGCGCTAAGGTTTTGATTTAAAAAAAATTATGCAAATTAGGTAGGGTTTGGCAATTGTATAGTATATATATCTATAGACACGCAGATATTAAACAGTCTGTGGTGTCACACTCGTCTGGTTTGTTTTACAAGATTTCATTGACAATATCTTTAATGCAAAATTCCTGCTATGAACATATTATGATTTATACTATTATTATTAGCTCACCTTGACATCGTCAAGCTGAGCTATTGCCATGGGTCGTTGTCCGTCGTACGTCCGTCCGTCCGTCCGTTCGTCAGTCCGTCCGTCCGTCCGTCCGTCAACGTTTCGCTTCGGTCAACGATAACTCAGGAACCGTTTGGCCCACATGTTTGAAATTGGGTATAGTTAATTGTTACTGCTATGCTCCCATATTAAACGTCCTATTTTGAAGCACGCCAGTCGACGTACTTTCGAGCCACAGCAATTTTTTTGGCAAAAATGGGAAA